CTGCCGCCGCCGGCAACCCGGGTGGCAGGTGGCAATAGCGACGCGGCGGCGGCGGCGGCGGCAGCTGCCGCCGCTCCCTGGGGCCGCAATCGACCGCTCAGGTCAATTGCAAACACCCTACCTCCCCCCGCCGCTATTGCTGCCGCCGTCAGGTCGACTGCCGTACGCATCGACATGGCGCTGGCGCAAATATCCAAAGGCGCTTCGACATCATCATCGTCGTTGTCGCCGTCCTTCGTCAGCACCTTCTTGCCGCCGCCGCCACCACCGGAGAACTGCTGTTGTTCGGCGGAACCGACCAGGCTGCCGTACAGCGCCCCTCTGGCCGCGGACACAGGCGACCAAGCAAGGACAGACTCCGCACCCGGCCCGCGAGCCGCCTGGAGGCTCTGCAGCTCCGAGGTTTCGCTGCAAAGCCGCGCCGGACCAGATGCATACCCGCCCTGACAGCCACCTCCGCCACCGCCGCTACCGCCACCACCACCACCACCGCCGCCGGCGACACTAACGGGCGATAGAGTTCCCACACTCGCACTCAGCCGCTGAAGGGGCTGAATGTGCAGCGGCACTGTGAGCCGCCTTCTCGACGTCTGCCGCTGTCCCCCAGGTTGCTGTTGCCGCTGTTCCCGGGGACTTCCCCCCTGGGCCCGGGGGTCATCCACAAACACGCCCCGATGCGCACGGCCCTGCAGACCCCCCTCCACCACCACCACCTGCTGCTGCCGCTGCTGCTGCTGCTGCTGCTGTGTCCCTTCGCCCTCCCCCCGCACGTCACCCCGCACGTCACCCTGTTCCTTTACCCCCTCCTCGTGATTTTCGTCTGAGTGACGTTGTTGCTGCTGCTGCTGTTGCTGGTGGTGGTGGTGGTGCGGCGGCGGCGGCGACGTCAGTTCTTCCGCGCGCACCCGCAACCCCCCAAAAGCATTCATCCTCCTAGTTGGAAAAGTGGCAGTGGTAGCAGTAGCAGTAGCAGTAGCAGTGGCGGCAGTGGCAGTGGCTGTGTCAAAGGCAACGCCGAGGGGAGCTGTGTTTGCGGTATCATCGCCCCCACACCGATAGCTGCACAGCCCATCCTCGGGGCCGTAACAGGTCAGAGCACGCAGCGCCAGACGTCTGGCCGTACGGGACGCAGTTGCACCAGAAGCAAGCGCCGCCGCCGCCGCCGCTGCCGTCGGCCCCCCCCCTGGGGGCCCCCGTCGCGACGGCGCAGAGGATGACAAGGCTGTGGGGCTGGGTGCCGGCCGTATAACGAGGAAGGGGGGTCGCTCCAGGGAGTTCAGGAAGGAGAGGGATCGGGGGCCGGACATGGTTCCGGAGCGCAGCCAAAAGGTCTCCATGTCACCTGACCGGGCGGGGGGAGGGGGGAGAGAGGAGAGGGGCGAGGGGGGGAAGAGGTTCGCTGCGGGGGGCAGTCGACCGCGGT